TTTTGATTTCGGTTAAAATGTCTGGGACTAATTAACTCTATCCATTTTAGAAAAGGGACACTAGCAATTAAAGGTTTCTTGACATTAATTAGAAAAGATAGAGATCCCCCAAAAAAAAGTAATAAAAATACATTTTGTAGCACTCCGTCAAACAATTAACCCTGTTTGCATGTGAGGTTTAATTTGCTCCATCTGAAATGTTGGGTTTTAATTTAGGAATTATATATAAGATGTTGGAATTTTTCCACACCTTATTGTTTTTTTGGATTTATTTGGAAAGAAAATGAAAAAACAAATATAGAAAAGCGGAGATACTAAATCAGGGAAATCGGTTTCAATCTCTCAATATCTCTCGCTAGTTCATTACATATGGTATATTCTTGAAACTTTTGCTATATGTATCGTTTTGCTTCAATATATGATGTTGGAAGTTGGTATATAATACAAATTTGTGCTGTTGCCATTTGGAATAAGTTTTGGTTGATGGACATGCCCAATGTTTATCTCGCTATTGGCATCGGCCCAGATGAGAGTACAATTAGCAAATGCACCATCTGCAAAGCTGACGAAGTGGAAGAGAAACCAAACCGTGGATGCGGGCATGGATGTCTCATGCACGTAAGTATGCACCTTACCCACCAGGTGATGGCCAGAGAAGCTGTGGTTTTGAACTGTGTGGGAGCTCCTGAATGTCCTATCAAGCATCCATGTACCATTCTCGGTCCAACCGTCTTGGATGCATATGAATCGACCATTACCAAGTCCTTCATGACCGACAAGAAGGTAATTGGTGTTTTTTCCTTTATATCATTTGCAATATCTCGTTTGTATCTATGATTTATCATAGATTCTTTTGCACAGATTTTGGAGTGTCGAAGCACCAATTACTCCATTCTTTTTATGCCTCAAAATTATAATGGAAAGATTCGCATATATATTTATATATGGAAAATTTGGTAAAATAATAAAGTAAGTTCTTATAATTTTAAATCAATCTATGTTTTGAAACTTTCATGAGATGTTTGTTTTGGCGATTATTTATGAACAAAATAATTAATAAGTTTACTATCAAACTGAGGCGTAGACAAATTAATGTAGAAAATTTTGGACTGAGAGTGCACATGAAGCCAAACATCCCACGTTCAAATTTTATCCTTTGTTTATCTTGTGTAGTTGGTCAAGAAATTATATCTTCTTCGCATCCTTCGTTGCAAAATTCTAGATTGGGAATCGAAAATTAGACTAATATTGAGGAAACTGAGCTTGCGTTGATTCGATCACATTACCGTAGAAACCCTAATTTCAGGGCTCTTATGCAATCACAAACTTGGCACAATACATACCTAGTTAAAATTTTAGGCATATCTTTATCCAAAGGATGATGATGTTTAGCTCAATTTCTTCAAACGTCGATCCGTATAGCTGTCTCAATACGAAGTTGGTTAAAAAATTTCCAAATACTACTCTATATACACATATTCTTATACATTCACAACATAAAAATATCTAGCAATCTCTCATCTTTTCTTCTCCAAAGAACTTACTGTCGAATGTGTTCGCATATTCAATTTTGATTCTCTTATCAGGAACTTCTACGACAAATTCTGGTATGGAATTGGTATACCCAACCATTGTCTATCTTTATACGACCAGTAAACCCTTCATCTCTTAGGGTTTTGACAAACACGTTATAAATTTTTTTTCTTATCCATATCAAAACGGAATTGTTTTGTTGAAGTATTCTGTATTCCGTACCTCCTCCGGCTTGAACTGCTTCATCTGCCACGATTTCATCACCTTCGACTTGTTCTTTGATGATTTTACCGACACCTTCGTTCATAAACAAACCAATAGAATAAAAAACAATTGGATCAAACTATTACAGGTTTTATGTTTTCTCATCACGTTCTCCAGAGCACCATCATTAATTTCTAAAATGGATCGTGAATTATCTCTCATGTTACTATATATCTCTAAAATGCACGACATGGGATAATTAACTCTAGCCCTGGACATAGTAGGTTAT